GTAAATCAGCCCCACTCCAAAGAGCTAGTCCCTGCTGGATTTTGGGAAGAACAGTTTGCAGGAAAATGTTATTAGAAATGTATTAATATTCACATCAAATATGGGATCTTCTCCAGTGTCCGTTAGCTACGTTCTGGGGAGCAGAGGGGTTAAATAAGCCAGCCAGAGCCCCTTCCATCTCTGCTTTCTGTGTGGTAAATCTGGAGGGACCCTCACTGGAATTTTTACTGAGTCAGGAAAAGTTTCCTTGATTCCAAGATGAGTTTTGCTCAATTAGAGCCCACAGGACAGAGCCCTGAGTAAGAAGAGAGAGGAATTTTGTACTTGGCCTTAGGATTTTGGGGGTTTAAAGAGTTTTCCCCCTGATTATGTAGCCAGAAGTCCTACGTTATTTATTTTTTCATCTTATCTTTGGGTTTCAGATCTGAATGACTGGGGTGGATGGCTCAATGCAAACTCACTGGGCTTCTCCATGCACTCCCTGGTCCTAGCCTGTCTCCCTTTTTGGTTGTGCTAAGATTTCCCCCCAAGAAAGACAGGCCAGTCGGTGAAGGCCAGTCCCGGGACAGCATGTCTCAGAACAACCATTCCTGCAGAGACTTGGAAGAAAGCCGGTAAGAAAAGATAAAGTTTATGACCAACTTTGCCAAACCGAGGGGCCTAACAGTAACGAGGCCACTTTTATGTGGATGGTTTTCACAGCTGCTAAGCACCCCCGTGGCCCCTAAAAGCAGCGAGTTGGAAGAGCTCAGGAAACTCAGGGCACGCGGCCCCTAAAAGCAGCGAGGAGTTGGAAGAGCTCAGGAAACTCAGGGCACTTTTATTTAGTGGCTAAGGGTGGATTTTAAAAGTCTTTTTTTTTTTTTAATGGCCTCAAATTTGAGAATTTTGGCCAAAGATCTTACCTATGAGGCTGGTTCGTTAGCAACAGATTTGGAATGAGAAAAGTCTGATCACATGAGCCACATAGCTGAAGTTGCGTGACTTCAGTCGACTGTTAGCAACAGATTTGGAATGTGAAAAGTCTGATCACCTGCCCCTTCATTACTACAATATAATTCTCTTGATTCAGACCCCCAGATTCTGCTGATTAAAAGAAGAATCTGAGGGCATGTCTTTGCCGTGGGATGGATAGTGGGCAGCGATTGATTCAGTGGAGGTTGATTTATCATGTCTAGTATAGGTGCAATAAATCGATCGCCGAGTGCTCTCCTGGTACTCCACCAAAACAAGAAGAGTAAGCAGAGTTAATGGGAGAGCATCAGCTGTTGACTTGCCAGTTTGAAGATACTGCAGTAAGCAGACGGAAGCAAATCGACTTTAGCTACATGAGCCACGTAGCTGAAGTTGCGTGACTTCAGTCGACGGCTGGCGGTAGCATAGACAAGGCCTGAGCTTTTCAAGCACCATGAAAAGACTTAAAGTAATTCTCAGAAGAATGGCCATACTGGGTCAGACAAACAATCCATCCAACCCAGTATCCCGTCTGCTGACAGTGGCCAAAACAAGATGTCCCAGAGGGAGGGAACACAACAGGTAATCCTCACGTGATCCCTCCTCTGTCACCCACTTCCAGACAAAGAGAGGCTAGGGACAACATTCCTACTCATCCTGGCTAATAGCCATTGATGGACCTAACCTCCAGGAATCTATCTAGCTCTTTTTTGAACCCTGTTAAAGTCCTAACCTTCACCACATCCTCTGGCAAGGAGTTCCACAGGTGCACAATATAGCCCTGACTACAAAGGCAGGAGCACAAGTGAGAACCCCTACATGTCACCCCCTTTTTCTCCTTCGCCATCGACTTCATTTGGCAATAAGGAGGAAAGAGCAGAAGCCGGCATGCTGCCCGCTAAGCGGCATTTCCATACGGTCCCAACTTGGCAGCAGGCATTCCCGTTCATTCATATTTCGCTAAACCGCTTCTGGGAAATGTACCAAGGAAGCCGCTACAGGCCAACCCCTGTCTACCTTCCTCACATTAGTTATATCTGCCGCCCAACCGAACTTTGCCGGTGAGTTCGATGGAGTGAGATTTCCAAAGGCAGCGAAGTGAGTTAGCAGCACAGCGACTTCCCATGTGATCTCTGTTCCTCGCTCCCTTTGGAAGATCCCCACCCCCCTACCCCAGTAATGGGTATGGAGGGACCGTTGCAGGTTGCAAAGACACTGGGAGATCCGTTTCCTCGCCTCCTGGCTGAAAAGCGCTGCTAACTCTTGCTCAGAGAAGCGGGATGGCGGAAGAGGCACATTTGGAATTGTCGTTTGGCGCGGCGCAGCGAGGAACAATTTGTCAGCGCGGCGGAGCTGTCAGTCGCTGACATGATAAGGAATAACACCGAATGAGTAATGCCTCCTCCAAGCCAGCGCCTTTAATTACAAGCCTCTCCCTTGCAGAAGAGAGACAGAAGATGCAGAAACACCAATTTCATGCACTTGTGCCTAAATAATGTCTCCATGCTGCCTTTTCCAGATGGCAACCTTTTCACTGGAGGAGCTAATGATGTGGGCATATTTAGGGAAAAACCAATAACGGAGTCTTTAACCTTCAACAGCAAAAAGCATGTTGTACAAAATGTTCCTGGGGATGCATTAACAAATATCAATTACATTGCTCACTGAGGTGTAATCAGCTGTAATAATCAAAATTAATTTTAAAAAATAATTAAACAGACCCCAGGGCAACTCGTCGGTGCTCTGGCAGCGTGACATCACAGGCTCCACGTGTACCTGCGAGGAAGTGGCTTGCTGTGGAAGCCACAAAGAGATCTGAGGCAAGAAGGACGTTTTCAGGGACACGTGGGTGAGCGTTGTGCTCAGATGAGGGGGCTACACTCGGGACTGGATCAGGACCACCGCAGATAAAAGCAGGACGTGGTGCAGCTTGACTGAAGGAGGCCCAGGTGCCCCAGGTCAGTAAGGGGGAGCGGTAACACACTCACCCGGGGATTACGACTTGCATCGGAAAAGGGCAACACCAGTGAGGGGTTCGGAACGGGTCCCCCATGTAGAGAGATTAAACAGACTGGGACATTTCAGTTTCGAAAAGAGGCGACTAAGGGGGGAGATGAGAGAGGTTTGTAAAATCACAGCAGGTGTGGAGAAAGTGAATAAGGGAAAGTTATTTACTTGTTCCCATCACATAAGACCTAGGGGTCACCAGATGAAATGAACAGGTGGCAGGGTTAAAACAAACCAAAGGAAGTATTTCTTCACGCAGCGCATGGTGGGCCTGTGGAACTCCTTGCCGGAGGATGAGGTGAAGGATAGGACTTTAATGGAGTTAGAAAAAGAGCTAGATAGATTCATGGAGGTTAGGTCTACCAGTGGCTATTAGCCAGGACGGGTAGAGATGTTTGTCAGAGGCTGGGAATGGACAAGAGGGGAGGGATCGCTTGCTGATTCCCTGTTTCTGTTCACTCCCTCTGAGGCATCTGGTATTGGCCACGGTCTGCAGACAGGACACTGGGGTAGATCAGGGGTGGGTAATAATTTTTTGCCAGGGGCCACTTTGGAAATTTTTGAAGTGGCCCCAGGCTGCACAGGAAGGAGCAGAGCATCGAGCAGACGGCGAGGGGCATCGAACAGAAGGGGCGGGGCATCGCACGGAAGGGGCGGGGCCATGATATTTCTGGGTTCCCCACCCCCAGACAATGATTGGTCTGGAGGCGGGGGGGTGGCCTCGGTGCCCATGCCCCTGGCGTGGGAGGAGACTTCCCATCCTCCCCTGCCCCTAGGCCAAATAGGGCCTGGGGGTGGGGAACACGCAAAGCCTCCTCCGCTCTGCCCCTCCCCTAATTGGCCGGGGGCGGGAGAGCAGCAGATGCAACACTTGGTGGCCCGGATTTGGCCCACGGAGGCCCTTTTGCCCACCCCGGGCTAGACGGATCTTTGGTCTGACCCAGTCTGGCCGTTCTTACCCTAACGATAGTGGTGGTACGGACAATGGAGGGCGCTAGGACCCCAGCGCTGCTCCCCAGAGCACTCGGCGAACACTCTGGGCCAATCCCAGCTCACCCAGACTCACTCCCCTGGGGAAGCTACATGGACAGCCGGGCTCTCCTTGTGGGCAGCTGGGGAGCGACATGCACCCCATCTGGCCCCCGGCCTGGGATGCACACTCCTCCCCCCAGTCTGCCCAGCTCCCCAGAAGGGGCCTCCAGTACCATGTCACACAGCAGGAAACTGACCCTGATCTCCAGTTCCAGGCTAGTCCCTCGCCCGTGGCCGTATGTCCTCCCCCAGAGCCCCCATGCCTGGAAAGGCAGACGTGAGGCTTCAGCAGGCAATATCTATGGTGCCGCAAGGCGCACGTCTTTCTGGTTCGACATGTCGCCCGACGTATTCCTGCTCTGCCGTGAGATGGGTGTTAGACACACGCCCAGCACCCACAGCAGGGCTCGGCTGCATTGCGTACGTCTGCTTTCTCGTGCGCAGCCATCGTTAACGGGGCATCGTTTGGGGTTTACGTTTTGCACGTAGGCCCCCTTGCACCCGCCCAACCTTACACCCCCGGGACTAATCACAGGGCTAAACTAAGGAGTGGGGTTAAGCATCTTGCTAACCGAGAGACTTAATCATGTAAAGCCATTTAATAAAGAGAGGTTAAGAACAACCAGGATTGGAGCCAGCTCTGCTGAGAGGAAAGGAGAGCCTAGAAGTCAACTCTCAGACATGGGCGCCTCTTGTATTCAGGAGGTCAAACAAGTGGTCATTTCTAGCCTGAACAGCTGTGAAAGGAATCGTAACAGATATACAGACGCCTATAATTGTCCAATTACTGATGTGATTCATAGGAGAACACCCCTGGCAACCTTAGCTAATGCCTTCTGAACCCAGCCATCCTTAACTGCTTCCTTAGCCTCCCCAGGCTTCCGAGTGGCTAACATAGCCTCTTGACAGGGAAACAGAAGTTACCTCAGATTTGCACACTGCTTCTTTTATATTCCTGCCAGGCGTCAGCCTCATCGCCGAAGACAAGCTTTCGCTCCAGGAACTGTGCTTGCTCTGGGACTGGGCGGGTGACGTTTTACTGTGGAGAGCCTTTTTCTCAGACGCTGTAAACCAGAAAATAAAAAGCTTAGAAAATAAAGGTGGAACCAGGCCCAGCGCATGCGTGGCAGGCTGGTGTCTGCAGGACACACCCTGCACTCTGGCAGGAACTCCATCTGCTTTGTACCTGTGCTACCTCACGCTCGCGCGTCGGCCTGTGAGTCTCAGGCCCGGTTGCCGATGGACTGTGTGCTACCTCAGACCACACTTGAGTGGCCAAACATGGCCACTAAGATAAAGGCCTATTGTAGCATCTCCATTCGCTTGGCTGGGGTAAGCCCCACCTCATCCCACCAACCCGCCCATGTTACTTTCTTTCTAACTCATGGGTCCATTATACCCTTGGCGTAAACTCCTGGGCCTCAAGAGGATGGCACCAGAGGCAAATTAACCTAACGCCCCTAAGCCTCGCTCTCTGGGGAGAGGGAAACATCTTCTCAGGCTCAGGAACGGCAGAGTCGTCCATTGGCAGAGAAGCTGCTGGCTCCCAAATGTCCGTGGGGGAGATTTGTCTGGGGCTCTGCCCAGCCCTGGCTGGGGTTCTAGTCTGGTATTTATCCCTGGGGGCGGGAGGCGATGGCAGCTTTGTGCCTTGGGGACTGAGAGCCGTTTCTGAAGGCCAACATGGCCCCGGCCGTACATTAGAGCTCTGCTTGACAGCGGCTTCCTCAAGGCCGCTCTACAACCCTGGAGCCGCTCAAAATCACGGCAGTGGTGTATGCGGCCAAGGCGCTACTCACGCCCGTGGGAGAGGAGCCCTGTGCTATTGAGGAGAAACCTTTCCTAGCTCCTTGTGGCACAAGGCCCTGTCCCTGTACCTCACCGGAGCAGTGTAAAAGGGTTGGTTTGCGGGAGCGAATCCCTCTAAGTCTAGCTCCGGACGGAATAAACCCGAGTGAGGACCCAAGGCATCTACTAGGGGTGTAAATACCCACGAAAAATGTTAAACGATTTAATTTTAATCGTTCGACCGGTTAACCCTCAGGGGTCCTGCTGGCCAGGCAGCCCCGCCGCACCCCAGGCAAGCGGGAAGAGAGATGTTCCCCAGCTTGGCCCTCCAGTTAACTGGTTACCCCATAAACATGCGGGTAAGGTTAATGCTTACTGGGTAACCTTTTACACCCCTAGTGTCTGGGACATGCACCGGGAGACTCTCTCTGAGGGGGCAGCGTCCTTCCAGGAATCCGGAAGCTTCCTGCAAGGCCTTTGCTCTCTGAGGTAAGCGCTCCAGGAAAGAACAGAGACCTATGAAGTGCTGCCAAGCCTTGGTCATCGTCTCTTCCCACAGCGGCGTGATCTCCGCGATCTTCAGCTCTCGGTCTCCAGGCTTCACGGAGAGGTCCATCTTGTAGGTGTCCTCCAGGGCCTGCCGCCTCTGGGAAACCAGCTGCCTCCAGGTGACGTCGACAGTTTTCAGAATCTCTTGCTGAACTAGAAGCCAAAGAGTCGCCCGTGAGGAATGACCCTGTGAAGGCAGAGTCAGTAGCGTAGGCGCCAAAAGCTTCTCTCGGTTCCGCGAGGGCCAATCGGGAGTGACTCTAGATTACCACCATTTTGCTCACTATCTGCAAAGGCTCTTAGCTTCACTACTCGCTCCCTTATGGGGGGGAGGGGATCGTTCTTCCCCCATATCTAACCCCTAGAATAACACCGGTGGGAGTAACAGCTGGCCCATCACGCACTGATCTGGAAAAGCACCTGATCTGTGGACACTCAGCATCTTATATGTAACATTTAAAGCATCTAGGACATGTTTTAATCCTTGTTGTCTGGTGCGTGGCTTCCTGGCAGGTTGGGAGCCACACACCTGGGATTTTAAAACCGTGGCTTTGTGGTTGGACGTTCCCCATGGGGATGCAGAGCTATTTTGCTGACTCACTCTAGAAACCAGGCCAACTGGATCAGGACTGTAACAAACGGAGCATCTCTCTAAGGCAGAGAAGAATGCAGGGAAAACTCCTAGAAAGAGCCAGAAGTCCGGCAAGGGTGGATGTTTGTGGTTATCTAAGAACAGGAATTCATGCCCATAAAGGATGCGTGCAACATTCCCTCTAATATTTCCCACCCAGGTGCAGAATAAATTTTGTGTGCCAAAAGGCATGTGCGGATGTGCGAACAGGAATCCACGCCCATAAAGGATGCGTGCAATGTTCCCTCTAATATTTCCCACACAGGTGCGTAATAAATTTTATGTGCCAAAAGGCATGTGCGGATGTGCACGCATGCTGTGAAACGCATGCTGTCTGCTGTGGGCGCTCTTAATCAGCTGGGAAGGCAGCTGGATCTCTCTTGGGTGCCGCTGTGGGTGCTCTTAATCAGCTGGGAAGGCAGCTGGATCTCTCTTGGGTGGCCGTCCAAGCGCTCAGCTCCCAGGGCTGCGTGCCTGTGGGCGGAAGCGTAGTTTTGGACACTAATCTCTTGTGGGAGGGCTCTGTGGAGAGCATTGGCCGCTTGCCCGGCCTCCGAACGGAGCAGGAGGAAGGGAGCTCGAGTAACCCCTGGGAAACCTCCTTTTTGATCGCCAACAAGTGTTAGACCACGGTGAGAAACTGGCACGTGCCCTGTTCTGCAGGCTGCCACTTTGCAGGAGCAAGGGCAGCTGACAGCAGGAGGCTCCGAAATGTCAATTTTAATTAAGCTTGATTTCCCAGCGCAGCCCCTGTCCTGTGCTGGGAGGGGGTGGCTTTTTGCGGGAGGCTCCGAGGGATGCTGGTCTGAATGGACAGGGTTGGGGAAAGGGCTGGGAACGGCTCTTGCAGCACAGGGAGCCTTTTAAATGAAATGGCCCTGACACGCAGCTTCAGATCCCTGATCCGCAACAGAGAGACGTAACAATTGCAGGTAAATAATACACAGGCACCTGGCCCCAAGCCCCAGGGCCAAACCCTCCCCACCCAGGCACAATCTGAACCAGATCTGGATTGTCCAGCTGGGCCAGACTGTGGGCTCCAAGGTCCACATGTGGGCAGCCCAGGCGATACAGAAAGACCCGCTCCCTTATTCCTACAGTGAGAGGCAGGGAACCCAGCACCCAGCTCACTCCAGCAGGGATCAGGATGAGAACTGGCACTAGGACCGCGGTGAAACAAGCTTCTACCATTCTCCAACAGCAGATCTACCATTCTTCTTCCTACCAGGCCACCGAGGCAGCTACTCAGCCCAAGATTAGGGTTGCCAGATACTTTCACAGAAAATTCTGAACATGGCAGGGAGGGGGAGGAGAACAGAGTGAGCAAATGTTGAGGGGAAAAAAAAAGATCACTGCACCTTTAAATTCCCACACTCCCCATTTTCCCCCAGCCCAAATGCAGCAGGGGAAAAAAGTCCCCACCGGCCTTCCATCCAAGAACACCAGAAACACCTGGCAACCCTCCCCAAGCTCGCTTTCTTCCCAGTGCCGCATGCAGTGTAGCGGCAACGGTGCGGCTCCCAGGGTATTAGAGACCCCCCTCCTTTGTCTTACATCCAAGCACTCATCGGAGCTGCTCAGAAAATCGCTGCAGACCCGCTCCCTGTCATGCTCCCCCGGGGACGGGGAATCCCATGGGTCATACATTACCGTCGCTGGGAGCAGGGAGACTGTCCTCTCTCCCTGTCTCCTCTTCGCTGTGGGCCAGGAAAATCTGGCGATAGGACGCCAGGCGCGGTTTTGCATCCACTCCAAACCCCTCCGGGTAGCTGGAGCAAACAGAACAGCAGGCGGCATGAGACACCCCGACACTTTCCGAGTCCCGTCAACGCAAGGAACACGGACGCTGCATGCACCGGGGATTTCCGACTCATCTGGTCTGTTTTATTTACTTTCCCCAGGCAGCGGTGACCTTTGTGGGTGTCACGTTTCTCTCTGCGAGTGGTGAGCCTGCCCCAACCGCCTCTACCGGGACCTCGGGCCTAAATATTGTAGCTGGCCCTATGTCACTCCCCTACAACGCTGGCCATGAGCTTACAGCAAACGTTGCCACCCATGTCACAAAAGATGATGCGCTGTTACCAGAAACACCCACCCAGTGGACACGGCAGAAGTCGCACACACAGATTCTGCCAACAGCGTCGGCTGAAAAGTTGTCCACCTACCAGATAAAGGCTATGTCTGCATGTCAGCATTATTTCGGAATAACAGGCGTTCTTCGGAAAGAACACCCTCCGTGTCTACACACAAGCAGCGATTTCCACATCATGTCCTGCCAGAGGACCGTTACCCCGACTCCTGTAATCCTCATTGTACGAGGAGTAAGGGTTGGGTCCAGCAATGGCTGTTAGCCAGAATGGTAGGAATGGTGTCCCCAGCCTCTGTTTCTCTGGAGGTGGGTTACAGGGGAGGGATCACGTGAGGATTCCCTGTTGTGTTCCCTCCCTCTGGGGCATCTGGTATTGCATGTCCTGCCGGAGGACCGTTACCCCGACTCCTGTAATCCTCATTGTACGAGGAGTAAGGGTTGGGTCCAGCAATGGCTGTTAGCCAGAATGGTAGGAATGGTGTCCCCAGCCTCTGTTTCTCTGGAGGTGGGTTACAGGGGAGGGATCACGTGAGGATTCCCTGTTGTGTTCCCTCCCTCTGGGGCATCTGGTATTGGCCACTGTGGGCAGACAGGATACTGAGCTAGCGGGACCTTTTGGGCTGTGTCTACACTGGTGGGTTCTTGCGCAAGAACACGTCCACACGGCCATGTGCTTTTGCACAAGAGCATTCATGGCAGTGTGGACACTCTTGCACAAGAAAGCTTTGATGGCTATTTTAGCCACAGGGCTTTCTTGCACAAGAAACCCCCTGCTGCGTGCACACTGCCCTTTTGTGCAAGAGCTCTTGCACAAGAGGGCTTACACTTGTTAGAAAAGAGCATAGCTCTTGCACAAGAAGCCCTCTCTTACCACACTTTACTGTTAATCTTGCACAAGAGCGGGCGGGCAGCGTGGATGCTCTGCGGAAGAACGGTCGTTCTTGCACAAGAACCCGCCAGTGTAGACATAGTCTTGGTCTGACCCAGTATGGCTGTTCTTATGAAGTCGGAGGAAGAGAGCTCTATTTAGAAACAAGTGCTGTTCCCAATTTCAAAATACGCTATTTCGACTTGGAGCTTATTACACAATTAGCGTGGCTCCAGTTGTGTAGCTTATTTCAAGTGTAGCCCTGCTGTGTGGCTAAGAGAAATCCCCCCACCGCTCAGTTCCCTGTGAATCTAAGTTGCCCTGCAGCAAAACGTTCCCTGATCAGGACAAAATCCTCGTGCCCACACCAGCGACCTACCACATTCGGTTCTCACTCAGCGTCAGATGCAAATGTTTATTCTGCTCATCAGCTGGAAGGGGCAGAGCCAACAGAGGAGCAAAAAGCTCTTTCTTGTGAAATTTCTAGCCCAAGTTCTGAGCTGCCAGAGCTTTTAAACGGGTAAGCTGCATCCAGATTCGTTGAGTGTTTCCTGGACCCACTACAGAGATTTACTCATCACTTTAAAAGAAATTAAATCAAGGGTGCCATTGTGAACACCTGACGTCCATTATCCATATCACTGTGCATATTTTCAGCTAAGACTCTGGCAATATAACTGGTAGAAACTGTTCCATCAGAACATATTTTGAAAGGGAAGCAGGGGTGGGGTTTTTTTTTGGGGGGGGGGGGTACCACACTGAATTTTCTCACCAAAGCATGCCATTTTCAATTGAAAACCTTTCTGGCTCTCGTAAGAATCCTGACATTTTAAAATATCTTTTTGTCTTTGATGAAAATGAAATTACAAAACTTTTCAATGAAAACAACCTGTGTGACACTTTGGTCAGACACTTCCAGGAAAGGGGTGGAATCTATGTTCTCATATAAGAATGACCATACAGGGTCAGACCAACGGTCTATCCAGCCCAGTATCCTGTCTGCCGACAGTGGCCAGTGCCAGATGCCCCAGAGAAGGGAACACAACAGGTAATCATTACACGATCCCTCTCCTGTCATCCATCTCCAGACAAACAGAGGCTAGGGACACCATTCCTACCCATCCTGGCTAACAGTCTAACCTTCATTAATCTATCTAGTTCTTTTTGAACCCTGTTAAAGTCCTAGCCTTCTCCACATCCTCTGGCAAGGAGTTCCACAGGTTGACTGCATGCTGAGTGAAGAAAAACTTCCTTTTGTTTGTTTTGTTTGTTTGTACGCAGTTCAAATTAGTAATCTCAATGACGAGCAAGCCAGGAGGGAGCTGTGGGCCCAGGCAGGCAATTACACATGTAGCCCCAGTCTATCAGATTGGGCCGGTGATTTAAATCCTAAATCCCAAACCCTTCCAGGCCCGGAGTGCTCTGTTTCCACAGTTCAGAGAACGTGGTGCCGTGACCTTGAAAGAGCTTGTGAAATCTCCCCTCTTCCGCACGCACCGCCCAGTGCGATGCATCCCAGCAGACAAAGCTACTCCGAAGCCACCCGGAGCGCAGCGCATGTACCTCCCAGAGCTCAGCTGACACAGACAGTGCAGGAGGCAGATGGTGAAGCTCATGTTGGAGTTGTACGTTGCGAAGATGATGTCCCATTGCTCCTGGAGGACACGGAGGCTGTTCAGGAGACTCCGCTGTTCTGGCAGGGACTGCTGTGGCTTGGAGAGGCAATACAGGATGGCGCGGTTTAAACTGCTGTACAGGGTGCTGATGACAGTGTCCTTTTGGGGAAAGGGGTTCTCCAGGACCTGTTAAAACACAGCACGAGATGATCTGGCACCTGGTTAGCACAAGATCCTCTTCCCCTCCGCTCCACTTCTCCATCAATGCCCCTTAAGCTCTGCCAGACAAAACCAGCCCTCCCCCGACATCCTTGGAGTCACCACAGGCACGAATCTGGCCCCGTGAAAGAGCAGGAGCCTTTAAACGCAGACACGCTCCTTGTGTCCCTTGGAGTTGTCTTTGGTGGGGAAGAAGGGTCTTTATCGGTGGGATTTTCAAAGCACTTAAGTGACTCAGGAGCAAAATTCCAAGTCCTTCAATGGGACTCACCCCCCTAGTCACCCAGGTGCTGCTGAAAATTGCACCCCCTAAGCATCGATTCATAGGCCGAGGTGAATCAAAGGGAGTCTAAGCGGCTGCCGGTAACGTATCCTAGTTCCCTTATGTAAGTTACCCCAGTGCAGTTGTTCTCAGAGGCAGGCTCGGATCCACTTGTCACTGTGTAACTTACTCTCCTGTGCATACTAATTCTCTGTTAAATAGTGGTAGAAATGTCGCCGTGTTAGTCTGGTGCAGCTGAAACAAAAAACAGGACTGTGTAGCACTTTAAAGACTAACAAGATGGTTTAATAGGTGATGAGCTTTCGTGGGCCAGACCCACTTCCTCAGATCAAATAGTGGAAGAAAATTGTCACAACCATAGACTGTTTGGGGAATGGCAGAAACTATTCCTGTCAAATTCACAAAGCAACTTGTAGGGACGCCTCAGCTGTGTTCTACATTGGGCTTCAAAGGGGCATCGATGCTGGTTTTGCTCTAAAGGCAGAGAGCCAGCTGATGTGAAACTTCACAGGGGGGGCGGGAGGGGGGCTGTCCTTTGAATTTTCCTTGTCTCTTTTGTTTGGTTTCTCTTCACACATTGCTCAAAGGAAGTCTTTGAAATTGGGCTCTGGTTGAAATTTGTCATTGTCCTACTGCTCTGAGTTGATCTGTCTCTTGTAAAACCCAGAAATTGGTAGCGAGGGGGATCCTGAGTCGCTCTGCCTCAGCAGGTAGATTTTAGTTGAAAAATGTGGGATTTTACACCCCTTTCTGCCTTCATTCAAGGTGGGCGTAGGGCCCTGTACATCTGCGGACAGCCGCAGCTCATGTTTGTGGATACAGATGCAGATACAAACTTTGTAACTAGAACCATGCACATTTGTGGATACCTGCTTTCTATCAATTCTCTGTTAGTCTGAGGACCCAGTTTGGCCTGGTCTTTACATAGGTACGTAGCCCCACAACAGCCCTTGCACTCTGGGGAAACACAGGTCTCTCCTTTCTGCTCTGGGTCTCACAGCAGCTCACAAGGGGCAATCAGGAGGTGACTCCATGCGGGTGGGTGAAATTGACATGCTAACTCCAAGGGCATATCAATTTCACACACACATCCTTGGAGTTCTATGCAATCTGCTCCATACTATTAGATATGATTTCTTGCTGCCATTCCGGCACCAGGCAAGAGACAGAAATACAGACAGTCCCTTGCAAATTCCGAAACTTTCCACTGCTGAGCAGCAGTAACTAGCTGTGTCATACGCAGTGCACCTCGAAGGCACTTTCACCCTGCGGTTTGCGTGGCTGGGGATTTCTGGGTTGACCAGCACCGGGAAAGCTCCAGAATGAGGGATCAGTGCCAAGGGAAAAACAATCAAATCAAGGAAGAGAGGTGAAATCCCAACGGAAATAGGATTGACTAATCCTCAAGATGTCTAGGGGTTGATTTTCCAAAGCAATCAGCACCAGCAGCAAACCCACATGGTCAACACGAACTGAGCTCATCAGACAATTTGGAAAAATCCGTAGTTAATGGCAGCGAGGCTCTTTGAAAATCTGGCTGAGTGCTGGAAAATCTGGCCCATGCTGGTTGGGTTTTAAATGCCAAGAATGCTCCTTAAATAATTTTCAACAGTCCTCTCCTGCTCTATTCCTTACGCTTCCAGAAAAGAGACAGTGGAGATGAGCCACATCCGCTCGAATTAGCGCTGATGTCACACTCCCATCTCTGTATGCCTGCCTTCTTTCTTTTCTCCTCAAGCGCCTGAAGTGATTTGTACCTCACGAAAGCTTCTTCCCTAATACATTTACCAGTTTTTAAAGTGCCACTAGACTCCTTGTTGCTTTTGCTGAAACAGACTAACACAGGTCGGCGACCCCTCGTAAACCTGATTTTTTAAAAATTTCTCCATGACAAAGGGTACGATTTTTTGCAAAGATGCGTTGAAAACTGGAGGAGGAGCAAGTGAGGTTGGGTTTCCCAGGGCAGGAACTGTGGTTGTTTGGGTGTGCCTGCGCCACGGGGCTCTGATCTTTGATTGAGGTCAGCGCAAAGCAAGCAACGGCCCCCGAGCATGCCCTTTGGGTGGTGAATCCCCAAATCGCCGCGCCAGCACGACACAAGAAACATCAAAACACACCGACACCGGCGGAAGGAAGAGCCCCACTTACCAACCCGATCTGCTCTGCCACAAAGAGCAGGATTTGCTTCGGCTCCGCAGCAAACATTCCACTGTAAAGCTGCTCGACCAGCTTCTGCGTGAAATAGGCAACATTCGCCACCGGCGTGGGCACGGCCACTTCCGCCGCCCCCCGAGGGTCACTGCTTCCTGTAGGGGACGCAACAGGGGGACAGCTCTGTCACAGGCTGGGGTGGAAGCTCCCCAGCTGTCATGCTGGGCCAGCTCCGGCTGGGATCTTGGGGGACACAAGGCCACCCATGGGCTCTATCAAACCCACAACCCCTGAAACCGGCTCTATCCACTCGACCCCACTGCCTCCCCTTGGAGGCTTTGTTCTTGATGCCTGGTTTTTAATCTATCGTATAGCAGGGGACATAGGAGGAGCAGCCCGCCAGTCACATTGCAGAAACACAGTCGTTTCAATGCACTTGCTCACTTTCAATGCCCCACGCTGCCTGCCAGGCTCAGACACCAGCCCGATGTTGCAGCGGGCGCTCCTCAGCCTCCCAAGTGAGTCCAGACGCCCCAATCCCGACGCTATCCGGCTGACGAGCGGAACCCCACAACTCACCTCTCGGCCTGGAGGCGCCGGGTTTCCCATCCCTTTGGCTGATCACATGGAAGAGATCCATAATAGCAAGCAAGACTTCTGTCTGGAAGCGTCTCTTCTGCTCGGTGGTGGAGTTTTCTGCAGAAGCCTGCACAACGACATGAAGCCATCAGCACCGGGATACAGGAGGGAGCAAACCCTGACCCTCTTGCTCAGCCTTGACCCATGCAAAGTCCATCCAGGTCAGTGGAGTTAGGACAATACAGTAATTACTCGTTTAACACGTGCCCGCTTCACCCGTTTTCGCAATAGCACAATTTTTTTTTTAGGGATCATTTTTTGAATAACACAACCATCCCCGAAATAACACGAAAATAATCAAGTACCAGAGGGGTAGCCGTGTTAGTCTGGATCTGCAAAAGCGACAACCAGTCCTGTAGAGCCCCTTATAGACTATGCTCCAAAACATCTGTTAGTCTGTAAGGTGCTACAGGACTACTTGTCGCTTTTGAAAATAAGCAAGCAGCGGACTACTTTGTGTGGAGGGATAAGTTGGTGAAAACAGTGGTAATATGAATGAGCGGATGAATACACGTGGTCACAGCGCTCCTCCGCTCACTCACGTGTTTATCTTTGTGTTTTAACAAACCGCGGCAACTTGTGTTGCTAGAGATCTAATGTTGACGTTGATGACCAGCACCAACAAAAAATTGACTTTGTCACCACCACTTGAAACGCAACCCGCACCTTTTCCATTATTTTTAATGGGAAAATTGACCCCGTATAGCACGTTTTCGCATAGCACGCACATTTTCAGAAACACATCTCTAGTGTTAAATGAGGAATGACTGTATACACAGATGAGAATCCGTCCCAGCCAAGTCGGGATTGCCAGGTACGGCCCAGGGCAATCTCAGATCACATTGGCTGGATGGAAAAGATTCGAGATCCAGCCCCATCGGTTACATGGTGCCTGCAAGGAGGGACTCCAGACAACTCCTTCTCAGAGCAGAACTGCTCAGAACTTTTTGGTTAAAAGTTGCTGGGGTTCTGGATGAAAAATGAGGGTTTTGTCAGAATCGAAGGGGGTTGAAAATGTGCTAATTTCAGCAACGTCTCACTGAAAAAAGGAACAAAGCCGTGGGGTAAGTCAAAGCGGCGGATTCTGACAGAATTTTCAGAATGGAACGTTTTGCTGTGGTTGGAAAACCCTTGTAGCCAAATTCGTCATTTTAATTTATTTTTTTTCCGGTGTTCTCAGGTCAAACCCAGAACAAAATGTTTCTCTTGACCTGGGGGGAAAAAAGCTTTTCTAAACATTTTTGGTTTTGTGGGAAACCCGGAGAAAAAATGTTTCTATTTTGTTGTTGTTGTTGTAGGAAATGTCAACATTTTTGTTCTGGTTTAGAACGGGAACGTTTTGGAAACCGTGGAATACCCCGCAAAGCAAAGTCCCTGGTCCCACCCGTCTCGAGCCTGGGGAACCTGAAAGGAGCGTGTGGGCTGCAGACCCTCTGTGTCCCTGCGGGACATCTCCTGTGTGGCCCTCCCTCTCCCGGGGCCCCGACTCGGAGCAGCGAGGGCCGTGCCGAGAGACCTCGAGAAGCAGCTCGAAGGGGTGCCCCTGTTTGTGCACCGGCATGCTGAGCAGACTCTCCATCAGCAGGATGCGCAGGAAATCCCACACTTGCTTCTTGGCAGGGTGCAGGGGGAGTGGAGCAGCCGGGGGGTCCAGGCAGCTGTTTGCTTCAATGGCAGCTGGACCGTTGAGGGGCGAAACGTCGTCACTGCCCGCCTGCGTAAAGAGAGCAGACCGTGGCACTCAGGGGCTTACTGCCTGCCTTTACAATGGCCTCTCCTGCTCACACCACTCACTCGTGCTTGGTCCCCACCACGGAGCCACGTGCTTGGAGAGCTGACACGAGGCAGCGTGAGCCCGGACTCCTGCGCTCCTGTGTCATACGGAGCACGGCAGCCCAGCAGGCAGGCGGGCGCTTCCCAGCACAGCCAGAGAGAACGAAAACAGCAGTGCAGCTGCAAGGGGCTGGGCTAGCCGCCGGGGTGCAGAGCCAGCAGGTCAGGCCGGGCCGGTGTGGGGTGGCCAGCTTCAGCAGCCACGCTGCCCGTGCACGTCTTCTCCCTGCGCTGGGAAGGGCGCCTCCACCCTGCTGGGTAACCACCCCCATCAGCGTGTCCGTGGACAAGTCCGTCACCTCTCGGTACCTCCGATTCCTCGGCTGTCCGACGGGACGAAGGGCCGTGCCCGGCAGCGTTTTGTGGTGCCTCGTACATCAGAGCGGCCAGGCTGGGTCAGACCAAAGGCCCATCCAGCCCAGTCTCCTATCTGCCCACCGTGGCCAATGCCAGGGGCCCCCAAGGGAGTGAACAGGATCCCTCCCTGTCGCCCATTTCCGGCCCCAGACACAGAGGCCAGGACACCATCCCCGCCCATCCTGGCTAGCCACCATTCATACACGTGCCAGTCCCCCGGGGCCTGGGCCACAGGGTGTTAAGAGGTGAGCAGGCCCACCCAGCGGCTGGGATGTCGTAGTGCAATCGATTAATCGATTAACTGCTAAGCAAAAGTGTAGAGGTTAATGCGACAGGCTTCCTGGCCCTTTAAATCGCCGCTGGAGTGCTGCACAGCGCGCTCCGTGTGGCTCTGTGGGCGGGGGGCAGGGAGCGAGCTGCACGGAGCACAGCGCGGAGGGCTGGCTTCCCCCCCCATCCCCTGGGAGCCTGGGGAAAGGGCCAGGGGCCCGGGGAGGCGGG